CTGCCATTTCTTTTGGGCACCAACTGAGTTGTGATGCCATTTTGAGCCCCTAAATTAGAATGGGTACACAAAACCAATGATGGAGCCAAGGGCGGCAGAGGGGGGCCATGGCCCCCCCTAAGTTTTGAAAATTTTAATTCATAATATGTAAATATATCTATAAGACAAAGTTGATCCCCCTAATTTTTTACAATTTTAGTTTATATTATGAGAGTTTATATATATATATATATATATATATATCTGTGTGTGTATATGAATTAGCCAACTTTGATTTAATTTTTTCTTCAAAAAAAGTTATTTATTTTTTTATTGTGCTAATTATTTAACATTCAAAAAATTAAACATATAATTTGATAATTCATAGTAAATTGGCCCAATTTGATATATTACAATAAAAGACTCAATTCATAATTATCAATGAGCTAAAACAAAAATAATTACTTTATTGGCCCATATACAAATATACAACTTAGCCTAATTGATAAAAAATTTAAAATTAGTGATCTATACTCTTATTGACCCATATACAAATATACAAATAATTACTTGAAGCTTTTGTGAAGATAAGAAATTGAGTGATCTATCCTGTTGTCGACAGATTGATTATATTTGTTCTCACTCTTCCTATATCAACTGCAACTATAGAACGGACATTTTCAATTATAAATATAATCAAAACAAAGATCCAAAACAAGATAAAAGATAATTTCTTGAATGATTATCTAACAATGTATATAAAAAAAGGAAGTTGTTCAAAAATTTAGTATTGATTCAATTATAAATGAATTTAGTTCTATGAAAGAACGTAAAGCTCAGTTTACTTTTAAAAAAAGAGGTTGAAATTCAAGGTATGCTAACAAAACTTTTATCTTTTATTAATTGAAAATAGTTATATTCATATTGCATAGTTATATTTTTGTTTTTACACAAGTGACATATTGGAGCATTTTCTCATAATGTACAATTTGGGTAGTTTGTGATCTTATAAGATATTTAATCAAAGATTATTTCTTATCCTAATTTTTGTTATGACTATGCTGCATATTTATGAAATAGACATACCTTTATAATTAAAATTAATATTTGATGTATTAAGATGTCATATATTTAAATAGATGAAAATTATTTTGAATATAACATATCCCCCCAAAGGAAAAAATCCTGGCTCCGTTCTATAGTCTATAGAATGAACATTTTCAATTATGAAGATAATCAAAACAAAACTCCAAAACAAGATAAAAGATAATTTCTTGAATGATTGCCTAACAATGTACATAAAAAAAGGAAGTTGTTCAAAAATTTAACATTGATTCAGTTATACATGAATTTAGTTCTATAAAAGAACGTAAATCTCAATTTATTTTTAATAAAAGAGGATGAAATTTCAAGGTATGCTAACATAACTTTTATCTTTTTTTAATTGAAAATAGTTATATTTATATTGCATAGTTATATATTTGTTTTTCCACAAGTGACATATTGGAGCATCTTCTCATAATGTGCAACTTAGGTGGTTTGTGATATTATAAGATATTTAATCAAAGGTTATTTCTTGTCTTAATTTTAGTTATGACTATGTTACATATTTATGAAATAGACATACCTTTATAATTAAAATTAATATTTGATATTTTAAGATATCATATATTTAAATAAATGAAAATTATTTTAAACATAACATATTAAGGTAATTTTGTGCGAAAAAATTTTGGTCCCCCTAAGGAAAAAATCCTGGCTCCGTCACTGCACAAAACCAAAACGCAACCTGAGATGGGTTTTGGGACTGAAAAGAATATGAGGGTATAAATTGTATCCTTTTCAAGGTGTGAGATTGAAAAAGGATGAGATGTGAGAAACTACTTTAAGAATTTTCTTCATTTGAAAAATTAATAGAAGTAAAATGGTGCGGTGATTTTTAAATATCCATTTCTTTCTCATGGACTACCAGACTTAGAAGAGATACGGCAGACAGAGAATAGCCCATCACTTATGATAAAACACATAATCATGTGTTTTTATAGTAGTCATAGTCATGGACTTATATTCTTATACTATATAAGAATAGTTATGATGAAAGGGGGGTTCTTTGAAAATGTGGAATGTTGTAAAGTTTTTTTTTTCAAACTTTTGGTACAACTGAGGGCAACATGTGTTTAGGTATATTTACCAAAATGCCTTCACTTTGGTACATTTAAAACTTTGATTTATGGAGACATTTGGATACTTTTGAAACATGAAATTATTTTGCAAACATTTTTGCATGGAGTACAACTCATATAAGCTTATGTGTTGGTATAATTACTGAAATGGTGTTTTAGATATGTTTAATTGAAGTGTAGTTTTTGTTGTATAATTAACACAAAGACATATTAACACATTGTGCGATTAACACGTTGCTATAACTAGCCATTGAAGGATATTTCTTTGTCTAAAATAATTTATGTTTGCTTTTGGGCGATTTTCAACTGACGTTTGTAAGGGTCTTTTGGGAATGGTAAAATTGTAAAAGTATTGATAAAACAAAATGTACAAATGTGTGCTGCAATTAGAATGTACTATTATTAGTTTTATCATATTTGATGACTATTTCTTTCGATAATGTACTATTATTTGTCTAATAAAAATTCTCTCTAACTATAGGCATCAAACACCCGCACAATGCACAAGCACCCCCAAGTGTATAGAATTATAGTAAAGTTTAATGGTTGAATAAGTCTTACTTGACTAACTAATCTCTCTCGCAATTGCCCATAATTGCACCAACGCTTGTGATGTCAACCCACTATATTATAGGGATAATTTTTCTTTGCATTGTCTATGTATAATATTTTTTTTATACTAACAAATTTAGATCATATCAAATAATATGAATTTAAGTAACACTTTTTGTGATGTGATGGGAACTGTCCCTCTTGTAGGTGGGTTTTTTTCTCTCTCAAAGTGGGGAGCCTTTTTCACCTTTAGTAGGTGTTACTAGGTTTTTTCAAAGTTTCAAATTTCCCGTACTTTTTTTCAAAAAAAAAAAAAAAAACCAAAAGCAGAAAACAAAACAAATTTCAGATCCTCTGCCTGATTTTCGATGGTGAATTCAATGGAGTAATAATGCGGTATCATGATGATGTTATCTTCCTGGTTTGGAGTCCACTGTGTGAAATCTGGTTGGAGTCCCGATCGTTGGCGGTAGAAGTTATTGAGCTAAGCTTCGATCGTCTTTCGTTCTAAGTTTTGGTTCTTCTTTTTCAGTTGTCGTCGTTTCTCTGTTTTGTGCTTATTGTTTTTCTTTTCAGTCGCAGTGGTTTTTGTGTTTTCTCTGAGTTTTTTTTTTTACAATCTTAGCCCAGGCTCTTTCATCTGTTACAGATCTGTGTGTGGTTCCATTTTCCGTTCATATATTCTAGTTTATTGGTTTCGTTTTGTCTTTTTCATTTGGTTTAGCTTCGATCCTGAATTTTTCTGTCATAGTGTTTCTGGTTTCTGTTTTTTGGACAGGCTACTGGTGTTTGAATTTCTTTGTGTCTGTGGTGACTGGGGAATAGCTTTGGTTTGATCAAAATGACTGAGGAACTAGAAGAAGTGCTGAGGAAATTTGTTCTGACTGAAGCTGAGGTTGACGGTGTTGAATTGGATGGATCGGATGTGGTTCATGGAGTGGCTGAATGTAAGTTGAGTATTATTGGTAAAGTGATAGGGGAGAAATATGCAAATATTTCAGGTATTAAGAGTTTTGCGAATAATATGTGGCCTTTTGCGAGGAAGTTAAAAGTAGTGGAGATTGGGGTAAATCTGTTTCAGTTTATCTTCATTAATAGACAGGACATGGAGCGAGTGATGCGGGGAAGACCGTGGATATATGATAATTTGCCTTTAGTGGTGCTACCATGGGAAGAGGGATTAGAACGTAGGGATGAAGCCTTTAATAAGACTTGGATTTGGATCCAGTTATGGAATTTACCTATCCACTGGATTACGAAGGAAATTGGAAGGAAGATTGGAGGGGTCTTTAGCTCTGTTAAGGAAGTTATAATTCCAAATGGAGGTGGTAAGGAGGGGAAACATTTAAAAATCCTGGTGGAGATGGATTTATCAAGGCCTCTTCTGAGGGGTACTACAGTGAAGTGGGAGGGAAGTGCGAGATGGATTGAATTTAGATATGAGAAATGTCCTGAGTTTTGCTATTGCTGTGGGATAATGGGGCATAGTGAGAGAAATTGCAGTTTGAAGGTTGTTAATAGTGGTAAGGAAGCTCAGTATGGTGCTTGGTTAAAGGCCAGTACTGCAAGAAATCCAAACAAAAGACAGGATGTTCCATGTACTCCGGAAGGGGATGGGGGTGAGGATGTTTCTCTAAACAGGGGGTGGGGAGAAAAGGAAAAGGACCAATTCCTACTTCCTTGGAAGTTGGTAGAGGTTAGTGTAGATACATCTGTTCAGGAGATTGCGAAGGAGGAGGTTCAGGACAGGAAAAAAGGGACTTTTATGGAAGGTGCTAAGAGGGAGACTCCTCTGAATGTTGTTTGTAATAAGGAGGGGAATGATCTGGGGGGAAGCAGCAATGTTAATCTAGAATCAAGCATAGGAATTACAGGTAAGATACAGAATGAGTGTCAGAGGAAGGTTGTGAATGACAAAGGTTTGGATGACTCTATGTGGATTGATGGATCAATTATAGACAACAAGGTGTGTGAGAGTAAGGGGAAGGGGTCAGTTCCTGAAGATAAAAAACTGGATCAAACTACTTGCTTAGGGAGGGGAGCTGGTAAGAACAAGGGAAATAAAGGATGGAAGAGACTAGTTCGTGAGGTGGGCAATCGAGCAATTCTGAGAAACAAAAATGAGGTAATGGAAGTGGATAATGAGGGGGGCAAAAGAAAGTTATGTGGGGCAATGGGTAAAGAGAATGAATGCAACAAAAAATATAAGATAGAAGATACTGGAGTAGGGATGGAATTATCTACTGAGGTGGTGGAGTCCTACCTTAATGGGGCTCCCAAAGGCCAATGAGAGCTCTGGTGTGGAACTGTCGAGGTGTTGGGAGCCCCTTGACAGTTCCCCAGCTTAAGGAGAGTGTCAAACTCCACTCCCCAGAGTTGATTTTCTTGTCTGAAACAAAAAACAGGAAGGATGTTATGAATAAAGTACGACTACAGTTAAGGTATGATAGGTTGTTTGTGGTTGATCCAATTGGGAGGGCTGGTGGACTAGCAGTTTTGTGGAGGAATGAGTTGCAAATCTGTAAGGTATTATATACTGATTTTACTATTGAATTGCTAATAGAAAGGACTGGGGCTAGGGATAGATGGTGGCTGATATGTGTTTATGCTAGTAGTGAGGACCAGATTAGGGAAAAGCAGTGGAAGGTTATAGAGGGTAGGAAAAGCTTATGGGGCCAGAATTGGGTATTGGCGGGGGATATGAATGACATTTTATCTAATGATGAGAAATGGGGGGGCTGTAGAAGGCCAGAAAGGAGTTTTCATACGTTCAGGGATTTTGTAAACAAAAATCAGCTTATTGACATTGGCTTTGAAGGAATTCCATGGACTTGGTCAAACAATTGGGAAGAGGGGAAGGAAATAAAGGAAAGATTGGACAGAGTACTATGTAGTAGACAATGGAGAAGGGAATTTGAGAAGGCCAAATGTTTACATATCCAGAATGAGGCCTCTGATCATGCTATGATGCTTTTAGATACTGATTCATGTGGGAGGAAGTGGAAAAGAAGGTTCTTTTTTGATAGAAACTGGTTAAAACATAAAGAGGTAGGTGAACTCATTAGTAGAGAATGGGGAAGGCAACAAGATGGTTCTAGATGTTTCAAGTTACACCAAAAGATAAAGAGCTGTAGGTTTGCTCTTTTGAACTGAAACAGGCAGAGGAACAATAATGCTAAGAATGAAATAAGGGAGTTGAGGCAGAAACTTGCAGAGGTTCAGAGTGATGGGCATGCAAATAGGATTGGAAAGGTCAGGGAGCTCAAGAAGAGATTGGAAGAGGCTTATAAGAGAGAGGAGGTGTTTTGGGGGCAGAAAGCAAGAATTAAATGGTTGCAGGAGGGGGATAAAAATACGAAATTTTTTCATGCAAGTGTTGCAGAAAGAAGGAGAAGGAACAATATTTCATGCTTAAAAAAGGGTGATGGTACTTGGTGTGATTCAGAGCAAGAAGTTGCAACTGAGATTCAGGGGTTTTTTCAGGAGTTGTTCACTTCCAGTAATCCTCAGCAGATTGAATCAACACTGAGGGATATTCCTCTAGTTATCACAGACCAAATGAATGAAATGCTGGTTAGACCTGTATCAGAATTGGAAGTCAGAAATGCTGTTTTTTCCCCACAACCAAACAAAGCACCAGGGCCTGATGGTATGACTTCTGCTTTCTTTCAACATTATTGGAATGTGATTAAAGCTGACTTGCTCAATGCTATTTCTAGCTTTTTTCACTCTGGCCAGTTATTAAAGGCTATTAATGAAACTATCATCACTCTTATTCCTAAGGTCGATTCCCCAGTTCTGGTGTCTCAGTTTAGACCAATCAGTCTGTGTAATGTTGTCTATAGGATTATATCTAAAATTCTGGTCCTCAGATTAAAACCTGTTCTCAATTGTTGTATCAGCCAAAACCAATCTGCTTTTGTCCCAGGAAGACAAATCATTGATAATGTTGTTATTGCTCATGAATTTATTCATTGCTTAAATAACAGAAGGTTTGGTACAAATACTTTTATGGCTTTGAAGCTTGATATGTCCAAAGCTTATGATAGAGTTGAGTGGCTTTTTGTGCTTAAAATAATGGAAAAGATGGGTTTCTGTAAAAAATGGAGGGACTGGATTTTTAAGTGTATGTCATCTGTAGTATACTCTTTTAACTTGAATGGGGAAAAAAGGGGGATAGTAATACCTACAAGGGGGATTAGGCAGGGAGATCCTCTATCTCCATATATTTTCTTGCTTGTCTCTGAGGGATTATCCAGGTTACTCAGCAGTGCTATGGTCAGGCAGGAAATTTCTGGTCTTAAGATTGCCAAGCATAGCCCAGCACTGTCTCATCTCTTTTTTGCAGATGATACGTTGATTTTCTGTAAAGCTAACAAAGAGGAAGCTGCAAAGGTGATGAAGCTGTTGGAGCTGTATGGGAAGGCTTCTGGACAAATTATAAATGCTGAAAAGTCTTCTGTCTTTTTTAGTAAGAACACAAAGGAAGGGGAAAAGGCAGAAATTTTGGATACTTTGGGAGGCATGAGGGAAGCTAAGCAGAGCAAATATCTGGGCCTACCACTGGTTATAGGAAGACCAAAAAAACAAGTGTTCAGCTACATTAAGGAAAGGGTCATTAGAAGATTGGGGGGATGGAAGGAAAGGTTGTTGAGCAATGCAGGTAAGGAAGTTCTTTTAAAATCTGTGATTTTAGCTTTACCAGCTTATGCCATGAATTGTTGCAAATTGCCAAAAGGTTTATGTGTGGACATTTGTAAAGAAATGGCAAAATTTTGGTGGGGGGTTAGGGATGATATTAGGAAAATTCATTGGATGGAGTGGGGGAAGTTATCTGAGGTTAAAGGGAGGGGGGTTTGGGTTTTAGAGATTTGTAGCAATTCAATACAGCAATGCTTGCAAAGCAATTATGGAGGATTTTGACAAGGCCAAATCTGTTAGTCAGTAGGATTGTTAGGGGGAAGTATGTTAGAGGATCCTCCTTTTGGGAAGTGAATATCAATGCTGGGGATTCTTGGGTTTGGAAAAGCTTTCTCAGTGCTAGGGAGTTGCTGGAAGAAGGGGTGAGGTTGAGAGTTGGGGATGGCAAGCAGATTGATATTTGGGAGGATAAGTGGCTGTTAGATCAGGAGTATGGGAAAATCAGATCATGTAAACCTCAACCGTGTCATATACAAAGAGTGCATGAGTTGATATCTGATGGGAATTGGAATGTGGATATGATTAGAGAAGTTTTTGAGAAGGAGGATTGTCAAAGAATACTTGATATTCCAATTAGTAAGTGTGGTGGTAAGGACAGGCTAGTATGGAGTTTTTCTAATTCAGGGGAGTACACTGTGAAGACTGGCTATGCAGTGGCTAAAGACTTGCAGTGGAAAAAAAAGGGGGTGTGCCAGCAACAGGGGAGTAGTAGTAGGAATGAATTTAAGTCAGGGGTGTGGAAATTGCTATGGGGTTTGAACGTTAAACATAAGCTGAAACACTTTGTGTGGAAATGCCTGCAGCGAATTTTGCCAGTAAATGAAACAGTTAGGAGAAGGACTGGACAAGGAGATGATAGGTGTTGTTGCTGTGGAGAAAGGACAGAAACTCTTGAGCATATGTTCTTTTTCTGTAAGCATGCGGAACTGATTTGGAAGTTTGCTCCAATTAATTGGGAGGGGTTGAATGAATACAGATATAGTTTTTGGCATTGGTGGGGTAGTCTGATGGAAGCACAGGTTAGAAAGGAGGGAAGGGAACACATTGAGCTGACCATTAATGTGCTTTGGCAGATTTGGAAGTCCAGGAATTTGATTCAATTTAATAGGGAAGGGAGATGTCCAGGCTTGACAAGTAATAAGGCTGTTCAGGAATGGTTAGAATTCCAGAATGTTTCCATAGTAAAGATGGAGGATGACGAAAAGGGTAGGGGAATTGAAAGAGGACCTGTGAAATGGGAGCCACCTCCAGAAAATGTTATATGTTTAAATACTGATGCAGCTATCAAACAAATTGGTGCAAAGGCCAGTTGGGGAGTTGTGGCTAGATGCATGGAAGGGAAGTTAAGAGGAGCTTGGGCTGGGTGTGAAGACAGGAGGGGCATTCCAATTGTTGAGGAGGCAAGAGCTGTTCGGCATGCGCTTGTCTTGGCCAAGCAGAATGGGTGGAGAAACATTATTATTCAAACTGATTGCAAGAGAATTGTGGATCAGATTAGAGACGGAAAGTTGAATGACCATTTAGCAGGTGCTGTCCTTTTTGATATTATGGCACTCAGCAAGGACTTTAGTTCTTGCCTGTTTTCGTTTGTCAAAAGAGAAGGGAATAATGTTTCCCATCAATTGGCAAAGTTTGCCTTAAAATTAGTTTCTGAGATTGCTTGGAAGGAGTCTTTTCCAAGTTGGCTGAGTAGTATAGCCAAAATGGATGTAGGGGCCTTTGCTCCAAACCTTGGTTCTTCTGTTTTCAAGTAATGCAATTGTTATCGTTTGGAAAAAAAAATAATATGAATTTAAAATTAAAATTCAAATCATGCACATGTAATATTCATCCAAAACTGTTAATATAAAAATATCACTACACTGTTTGTATATAAAAAGTTAATCCATATTAAAGTGTATATATATATATATATATATGCAAAATCAATCAAAGTGATTGAACGTTGCCGGAGTCTGGTTGGGACGTTGACTTGGGTCTAACCACCAATGACTGAAGGATATTTTATTTCTCATTTCAAAATCAGAATTTTGTGCTCATCCACGCCATTCTTCTTTCCCGTTTGTCTTTTCTGTTACACGGAGTATCTACTACATAATAAGAACTAGGGGTGGACGCAGATTTGATTTGAGTTAACCCATTTTATCAAGTTAGAAATAGTTTGAACTGCTCTAATTTTCATATTGATACAATTTTTTTTTGTAAAAAAAATAATTAGTGAAATATTTCCAAATTTTACAAGTTAATTAAACTAATAAATCAAGAAATAAAAAATTATTTCCTTGCTGTGCCACATTTTTATTAATCATCTAGTGATTAAGGTTGAAATCCCAAAATATAAAGGTTTTGAGTTTTAATCCCCCTCTCCTCTCCCTACGCTGCTAGAAAAAGGAAAACAAAAAGTTGAGCGACTGTACAATTTGGCTATTTGTATTGCAAAATCGCAACTTGATCATTCATTTGCTTTTGACCAATTAAAAATTATCCAAAGCCGCTCTAATCTTCATCTTCATGCATTAATTGGGCAAAAAAATTATGGCTATTCAGAAAAGAAATAGTAATTGTGCAAATAAAGAAAATTAAACCGCAAATATGAGAAAAAAAAACTCTAGTGCAAAATATATTGGACATCAGAATTTCACTTCATATAGTTCCTCTTTCAATACTTGCAAATACATTGGACCTTTTTCCAAATTCCAGAATCCCAATAGAGTAACTAGGACCAATTCATCTCCTTCTCATGTTCCAATTGAACACTTTCCATGTTTGCTTTTTCTCAAAGGAATGAGACCTGTAATACTCGTAGAATCTAGATAGGATCCAATAATCAATATAAAAAGACCATGCTCTTCTATAATAAGGGCTAACACAAAGAATTACCACAAATGAAATCACCATCACCATATATGAAGCAAAAAAGCTCCAAGCAAATGCTGCCACGTCAATTGCACCATCAACTTCGATGTCTTGATCACCAACATTTTCAGGGTGTGGAGCAAAGGGGTTACAACTTCTCTTGAGCAATGGTCCACAGAGACCTGGATTTCCTCTATAATTGCTGTCGTCAAAGGTTGCAAACTCCCCTGTATCAGGTACCCTGCCAGACAAGTTATTGAATGACACATTGAACTTCGACATGAAGTTCAAGGATGTTAACTCTGAAGGTATTTCACCACTGAAATTGTTGTAAGAAAGATCCAAGCTCTCTATTTGGTTCAACATGGAAAGTCTTGAGGGAATAGATCCTTGCAAGTAGTTGTGGGATAAATTTAATGCCCGGATATGTCTGAGATCACCAAATTCAGGAGGAATCGCTCCAATCAATTGGTTACATGACAGATCAAGTCCAGACATGAAATTCAATATATTCCCTGCATAGTGTTCGCTTCTACTTTTTGTTGTGAATATCACTTTTTCTTGCTCGGAAAAAGTTATAAAATACTCACTCGAGTATATCTCGCTGGCCAAAAAAGGAAGGTTTATGGCGTATTCAGTACCTAAAGGCTGGTCATAGGCAAAAAATGCATCTGTGGAGAACTGCCCTCTGCCAAAAGAAATGTTGTTGAAGCATGTAGGCAGTGGCCCAGAAAACTTATTCTGAGAAAGATCCATAATTGTCACATTCTGCAGCTGACATAAGTGCAAAGGAATATGACCAAGCAATTCATTTCCCCCCAATAGAAGAACCCTGAGCTCTTTAAGTTTACCAATATAGCGTGGTATACCGCCAGACAGCTTGTTGTAACCCAAATCGAGTGTCATCAAATTGAAGCTCCCAGACAGCATGTTTGAGATGGGCCCTGAGATCATGTTGTGATGCAGGTGGATGAACTTCAATGACGTAAGCTCGGAGCAGGCTGGTAAAGGTCCGATCAACTGATTTTTGGAGAGGTCTAAAAATTCAAGATTTGAAAGTTTGCATATAGCATCTGGTAAGCTACCTTCTAGCAAGTTGGCTGACATGTCAAGAGCCTTCAAATATGAAAAATTTCCAATCCAACTTGGAATTTTGCCTTGAAAAGAATTGTTTGAAATATCCAGCCAAGATAAACTTGGAGAACGAGATAATCCATGTGAAATGCTCCCAATAAAATGGTTATTATCCAAGTGAAGGGAGTCTAGGCTTGTTAAGTTCGTGGACCCAGAAGGAAAATTGCCATGCAAATTATTATAAGACAATACCAATATTCTAAGAGCTAAACATCCAGTTCCAATTTGACCTGGCACCTCCCCTGAAAACTTGTTGTGGGACAAATCAATTGATATTGCCCTTGTCAAGTTTCCCAATGACTGGGGAATATTGGCTTCAAATGAATTTCCTGACAAATTCAAGTACCACAGAGATGGGAAAGATAAACCGATATTTCGAGGAACCTTACCACTGACGTCATTGTTTGAGATGTCTAATTGACTTAGATTTATTTCCAGAGAATCATCTACAAGAAACGGACCCGTAAAAGAGTTATCCTTTAGAACAAGAACTTCAAAGTTTGTATTATTTTGCAGAAGCCAAGTAGGAATCTGGCCGACTAACTTATTGGAAGAAAGATCAAGAGCTTGCATTTCTTTCTGATAGAGCAGGAAACTTGGGATTTTTCGAGTCTGATTATTCAAGTTGCAGCCAGATAAATAGAGAGCCTTTAGCTGAAATGGTGGGGGCAGAGCAAGATCCTCAGTGTCGACATGTGAATCATTGTTCAAAGGTCCAAGTTCGAACCCCTGAAGCTTTGAATGGTTGCCCAAAGAATTGAAAGAAAAAGAACCTCCAAAAAGGTTGCCAGAGAGAGATAGATACTCAAGGTGTACGAGAGAAGTAATGAGAGCTACAGGGATGTTTCCGCTGAGAATATTGTTGGAGAGATCAAGAACTCGAAGAGACGTCAAGTTTCTGAAGCACATAGGAACAGGCCCGTAAAAATTATTGTCACTCAGGTGAAGTTCATCGAGATTCTTCAAACTGCAAATTCCTGTCCAAAAAACAAGTTCATTGTAAGCTTTTCATACAGTAATAGTTGATGCTAGGTATGACTTGTCAATATATAGCCAATTCAGAAACCATGAAATCATATGTTACACGCAAAAAAATTGAAATGTTGGTTTCCAAATTTCATCCGTTCTAGCTCAACATTTGAAAAGTAAATAGCAACTTCATGCAAGCAACTGAGCCTTTCACAGCCTATCTTATTACCTTGAAGGACGGAGGAATCATCAATACCAATATCCTTCAAAGATAAGGCTTTGAGAGAAGTTAAAGCCTCAATGTCGAAGAGTTTGTTAAAATTTGTATATTCAAGATTGAGTACCTTCAAGTTCTCCAGCTTCAATTCTGCAGTTCAAAACTTTATGTTAGTATTATAGTTTTGGATATATAAAAATTACATAACTATTGTTGCATCTCCATCCCCTATTCTATAAGAATTTGTATATTTCAAACAAGGTAAATTATGCCACAGGTCAACGAAATTTTCAAAGTCTTATTTAATCCACTATACTATTTTTTCACGTCAATGATGCATTGAACAGCTAAAAAGGATCAAATTGGGCTATTCTATCCATTTGCTCGATTAAAATAGACGAAATTCATTGCATGTGAGCTGCACACTCTGCAGGGGCAGCTTTGTCATTTGGTAGTAAAAAGTTGTATGGTAGACAAAGAGGACGTTTGATAAAACTAAAAACTAAAACCTGAAAACTAAAACTTAATTGAAACCTAAATTACTAAATTTCATAAAGTGAAATATGTTTGATAACCAGCTAAATTCGAGCGCTAAATTAAAATATTTTATTTTGTTTTTAATTATATAGTTGAATAGTAATATTACGTTTTACTTTTGTATTATATTAACTTTTTAAATATCAATTTTTTATACTAATAATCTGCATGCTAATAGGAAAAGTAAATGTTTTTTGTATGTGCATATGAGAAACAATTTGCAAAATTTAGTGTGAAAATGTCTATCTTCAAGAGAAGTAAAATATATATTTTGTGTGTTTGATGGAGAGATTATGTTTAAAAGTGTTTGTTATACAAGAAAATACGTGTAGGAGAGGGAGAGAGAATACGTGTGCATTTGACAGAGAGAGAGAGTGTGTGTAGATGTGTGTGAAAGTGTGTGAGGGTATGAGAGCGTGTATGAGAGAAAGAGAGAGTATATGTGTGTGATGGGAGAGAAAGAATGAGGGAGAGTATCCTATATATATATAAAAAGGAGTTGTTGTGTGGCTTTTGGATAATTTTCATCTAACCAGTTTGAGGGGTATGTCAGGCAATTCAGTACCAGTGTACCAGTTATTAAGGTTAGGGTACTAGCATTCTAAGCGTATTGGTATGTACATTCCCCAGCCTACCCTTAGTGCCTTGATGCTTCCACTACCTGTGCTTAGTTGTCTCAACCGCCTACTATAGTTGACACTTGAATGTCGACGGATGACGCGCTCAAGACAGTGAGGGAAGAATGACAGCAGAGCTGAACTCTGTTCTTTGGGCTTTACTCTTCCTACAGCTATGGTGGTTACGCCGGTCGAAATACCTACTACACTACCACTCAGCCGTCTGCAGCCTAAATAATTTTATTGAAAACGGACCCCCCTCCGGGAAGCCTGACTAACCTCGGAGTGAACCAAACTTCCAAGTGCCCGATGGTGTTTCTATCATCATTTACAGAGCTGGAGCTGGAGCTGGAACCTAGCCCGAGCGTAGCAACCACGATTATGCTCATTTTATGTATTACAGTACCATTGATTCCGGACACTCGCCCACTTCTGGCAGCCGGGCTGGCTAGGTATTTAGCATGATTTTGAGGGGTACAGTTCATGCTTGTTCGATTTTGCAATCGGTTATCCTCAGACATGAAGAAAGGCCAATTCAGTGCTGCACTAAGCGTGTTCTATTATGGTCTTGAAACCATTGACCCCATTGGAATTTCTGAGAATAATGATTGGAAATTGAAATACCTTCAAGGTTCATGTCATGGAGAATTTTTTAAAGCCCCCATTTCAGAGCCAGACCATTTCATAGCCCAAAAGTTCCTTTTCTCAGTCATTGATGGCTCACCTGAAGGAAGGCAAAGGGTGATGTTTACACCGCGGAGGTATTTGGTGTTTGTTTAAAAGAATAATTACTTCTGGTTCCACTAATTCAAGCATTATTACAGTTTTTGCTGTGGAAGTTTCTTTCCCTGCGAACAGCCATAGAAGAGAAATATTCATGTTGCTTTAATACAAGATTTGAAAACAGTGTTGAAGTTAGTATATTAGAGATTTCGTTACATTGAGCTGAAAGTTTTTGTGGCGATGAATTGTGTCATTTTGTTGCATCAGTATATGATGCAAAAAAACCTGCCAGTTCTTTCAAATTATTGATGCTACATTACCATATAGCTGTTCTTATCGAATTTTAAATTGAAGGGGCTGTTGATCGAATTTTAAATTGATGGGGCTGTTAAGTAGGATAGACTGTGCATAGCTTGCTTCTTTTTTTAAAAAAAAAAAATTAATGTCGTACATTGCATGAACTATTAAATAGGATTAAATGTGCATAGTTTTTATCTTTTTTCGTTTCCATCCCATTATCTTTTTAAGATTTTCCTTGCCCACAACGCTTATATGAAGCCAAGCTGTACAACATTTTTCAGGGTGGAAGTATCCCATTGGAACTTCTGAGAATTATAATTGGCAATAATAAACAAGCATGAACAATGCCATTTAGTTTGCACCAAACTAGATCTAACTGTAGTCTGAGATGAAACTACCCACTTATGTAGAACGGCTATGGTGGTGTTTAGCATTTTTGGTCTTCAAATCATATACGGCCTATTTGCACTTCATGTTATGTTCCTGAAAACATTGACCCCATTGGAACTTCTGAGAATTATGATTGGAAATTAAAAGCATCTTTCAAGGTCATTAATAACCTTTTTAAAATTGTTCAGGGCCATGGTCATTAATAACTTCAATGTTCCTGGAAAATTTATAACAAGAAAATGTCCTCCAGACCATCTGAAAGCCCAAAAGTTCCTTTTCTGAGTCGTTGCCACATTGATAGCCCACCTGAAGGCAAGCAAAGGGTGATGCTTATATTGCCCATGTGTAGCTTTTTCCAGCTATTATTTCAGCTTTATTCTTCAAAGAAACCGTTGCCATTCATTTCTCATTGCTACAAACCATCATTGAGAAGAACAATAACTCAAACCTTTATTGTGCAAGTGTAACTGCTGTCTTTTTGGCTTCTGAATTTTCATGTGATGAATTAGGACATTACAGTGAGCAATTATTGCTTCTTTACTACAATACTAATGTGTGGGAGATGCGGGACTTATTGGAATGCATGCCTGAACAAAAACTTAAAGCCTTTTGCTCTTCCAAAGCATTTGTTGATCAGTTTTTTTCCCAAACCTGCAATAATACAACCTGTTAACACATATAACAGTTGCATGCCTTGTTTAAACTCTATATTACCAAGGTGGTCCCCAAAGAGGTAAGGTCCCTTCCACAGTGTTTTTTAGGTAGATCCTCTCTGTGCCTATATCGGATTTCTGAATGAAACCACCACAACCTTTTATAGTTTACAAGCTCTAATCATGTTTGTAACTGGTTTCTTGCATTTCCATGTTTTGCAGTAACTTAGGTACAATTGTGAGGCAAAGGATTTGGCCAGCTCCCGCTTTCTGATCAAGGTACTTTCCAAACCACTTATTCTAATTAATGAATGTATATCGGTGTGCACATGTTGCTATACTAGAATTGCCATTGTTTTTGAATAACACAATCCATGTCTTTAATATCCTCATCTTCACTCATGTCTAATGCCCTTAAATTTGCCCTCCCTTCTCTTTGGTGTGTTAATGGCTATGTCAAAATGCATATGCTACGTATAATTTAGGCTTAGCCAGTAGCCTTATATTATCATTCACACCATATCTCTAGGCTTATATACCACCCAAATTGAAGTAGTTATAGTAAGAACTTGAATATTTAGTCCATTTTATAATAGCCTCAAGCATGGATCAATCAAAAACTACTGATAAACTTAAGTGTAAGAGAGAAGCTCGAAATCAAAAAGCAAGAGAAAGGTATGCTGCCTTATCAGTGGAAGAGAAAGAAAAAGTTCGACAGAAGCAACGAGATGCTTATAATAAACGCAAAGCACAGAAACATGGCAAACCTATCCCTTCCACTGAACCTACATCAATGCAGAATGGTGAGTTGTTGTTATTACATAGGAATACAGTTGGTGCAAAGTTACGTTAGTGTGCAGACAAACACCAAGAAACTCTCATACTGGATTTTAACTACTGTTACATTCTGAAAAAGTTATTAACCATGGAGTACTGCAATCTGTAGCGATTGGTACAGACATACCACATAGTGAACAAGTCAAAATACGTGAAGGAAAAGATGCCATACAAGCATCGAAGGAGCATGCCACTGCATTTTCCACCTATGAAAAAGGTTGAGATATCTGTCAAAACTTAAATGCAAGTAATAGATAATATGGATTCATGTCTAGAGTGTATATAATAGGAAAATGTTACTTTTACATATAGGCTCCACATCTAAACTGTGCTGCCAAAGAACTTCAACTGATGCAGCAACAACAAAAAAACCAGGTTTACTTATGAGTTCATTTGCCTTTTAATATAGCAGTGACATAAATAGGCATATTGCAATAACAGCAGTTAATCTCTTTTATAGATAGAGACCCAATATGCAATAGATGCTATGAATTTCTGCAAGCTGCTATTGAAGATGCATCAGGTGACATTCAAGGACTAGAAACGTTGAGCTACTCAATAAACTAGAAACTTTACAATAAGCTCCTAACTTAGAATACCATCATTGTGTTGTTGGTGTACAGGGTATACAACCTTAGGTTCTGATAATCAAAATATGCGTTGTCCTGTGAGCAAAAGTTGCAAAGAGAACACAGGTTATTAGCTATGGCAATTGTAGTTTCAGCTTGTACTATCATTTATTTGCCATTGAATCTAAATATGTGCACTTTATAGCTAAAGGTCAGCTGAAAGAAAGTAACACCAAGGACAGAAGGAGCCGTGTCACTCAGAAACCTATGAAACCTAGAACGGAAGGCCTACAAACCTTAAGATGTATACCTGATGAAGCCGATACTCTTAGATCTCAACCAGATTGTCAGTACTACGGTGCAAAGAAATTTTACTCTGAGACAACAAACTTCTGTTGTTCTGATGGCCAAGTAGTGCTGCATGAAAATAAATTACCAGATGTACTGATTGAATTGTTTACTGGTAAAACTGAAGAAGCACTATGCTTCAGAACATATGTTAGAACATATAATAGTCTTTTTGCATTTACTTCATTTGGAGTACACTATGATAAGTCTCTGTGTAAAAGAACAAATGGTATATACACATTCAAGATACATGGGCAGACTTATCATTACATAAATCAACTAATACCACATGGAGGATCAGGGATGTACTTGCAATTGTATTTCCATGACACAGAGCATGAATTACAGAATCGAATGGCCTTTTCAGCAAAGCTTACAGAGAGTATAGTTCTGAAAATTATGGAGGTCATGAAATCAAACCCTTATGCTTGTTTTTTTCGAAGCCTTCGAAATGTACCAGACCTGGATTCTTACCAAATTTTGCTGAAGTCTCATTGTGATATGGACCAAAGAGTTCATAATAAACCAACCGTATCTCAAATAGCTGCCTTATGGGTAGAAGGTGACCATGATCAGCACTCTTACGCAAGACATATTCAAGTCCATACAAAGGATGGAAATAGCCATCGAGTGCAGTACTATTATGGGTGTTATGACCCATTACAATACCCTTTATTGTTCCCATTTGGCGAACCTGGATGGCATGCAGGAATAAGGAGGTCTGAAACAAGCAATCCTAAGAAGAGAAAAAGGGGTTTCAAACACAAAGAGCAAACTATCAAGCTGACAAGTTTTAAATCAGCGGAAGAGATGATCGAGAATGAGGAACAACGTGAGTACCAATCTATTAAGCTACTTCTGAATGCATTTATGCTGCCGTTTTATATCTGCTTTCACTGATTATACTAATTATATTAACAGCAATTTTGTTTTTGTCACCAGTTCTAGCTCAGAACAAGAACCATAAAGAACATGTTTCTATGAGAGAATATTACTCATACAAGTTACAGATCAGAGCAAATAACACCCCTGGAATTCTGAATACTGGAAGAGAGTTGCAGCAGTATGTAGTCGACATGTATGCAAAGATAGAAACTCAAAGGCTCGATTTTTTTAGGATGAAGCAAAAGTTAATTCGGACAGAACAACTGCAAGGTATAATGGACTCCATTACATCTGGACAATCTCAAGGTGCTAGAGTTGGGAAACGAGTGATTTTACCAGCTTCATTTATAGGAGGCCCCCGCGACATGAAGAGACGATACGTTGATGCAATGGCATTAGTTCAGCACTTTGGGAAACCTGACTTGTTCATCACCATGACTTGCAATCCATCATGGCCTGAGATGAAACAAAACATGCTTGAAACTGATGAATATCAAAACAGGGTGGATTTATCAGCAAGGATCTTCCATGCAAAATTAGAACTATTAAAAGAAGAGATGTTCAAAAAAGAGATATTTGGCCAGGTAGCTGCATATACGTATGTTGTAGAATTCCAAAAGCGTGGCCTACCGCATGCCCATTTCTTGATAATCTTGAAGCCTGCATCAAAATTTTACTCAACAGATTCATATGATCAGATTGTTTCTGCTGAATTGCCAGATCCGAATGAAAACTACCATTTGTTCAAGATGGTTCGAAAACACATGATTCACGGACCATGTGGAGATAAGAAACCTGACAACGTTTGCATGCAAGGGAGAACAATTAAAAGATGCAAGAACAAGTATCCAAAGGACTGGGCAGAGAAGACGACGCATGGGGAGAATTCATATCCAACATATAGAAGGAGAAATAATGGCAGAAAAGTTTTGGTTCGGGGACATGAACTCGATAACAGATGGGTAGTCCCGTATAACCCATATCTTCTGGCTAAATTTAACTGCCATATCAATGTTGAGATATGCTCAACAATTAAGGTGGTTAAATATATATATAAGTACATATATAAAGGGCATGACAAAATCCATTTTATGGTGAACCCAGAGAATAGTACAGCTGCCATTGATGAAATTAAGGCATATCAATCTGCTCATTGGGTCTCCCCAATAGAAGCTATATGGCGAATTTTCCGCTTTGCATTATTTGAAATGCAACCTTCAGTCATTCATCTACAGCTACATCTGGAAAATTACCAATCATTGACATTCGAGGATGATGCTGATCTTCGAGATTTGATGAATAATTCACATGCTAAAAGAAGCATGCTTACTGAATTCTTCAAGATGAATGCGATCGACAAAACAGCTCAGAATTTGAAGTGCACTTATCAGCAATTCCCCGAATATTTTGTGTGGTATCCTGGTAGTCGAACATGGGGAATCAGAAAACAAAGACAAGTCATTGGCAGAATTGTAAGTGCAAATCCAAGTGAAGGTGAAAGATACTTCCTAAGAGTACTATTATTGAACGTGAAAGGTCCAACATCATTCGATGACCTTAAAACTGTTAATGGTGTACATGTTGACACTTTTAGAGAAGCTGCAATACTCAGAGGCTATCTTGAATCAAATAATGCTCAAGAACAATGCTTAGAGGAAGCTGCACTTTATCATATGCCTTACAGCCTCAGACGACTGTTCTCAACTCTATTAGTGTATTTCCCACCTTCTGACAGCAAAAGCTTGTGGCTGAAATTTAAAGACTCCATGGGCGAAGATTACAAAAGAACAACCACACTCTCAACAAGCCAAATAGAGTTGCTTGTTCTGCATGAAATCAGCAAGTTTCTCAATTCAATGGGCAAAAACATAAATATGTATCAGTTGGTGCCCAAATTCTTGAGGTTCGATGACGTGGACAAAGAGAGCAGAGATATCTTAAGTGAGAAGAACATTGTCATATCAGATTCAGATCTTGCTGCAATATCCAGATTGAATACAGAACAGAAATCAGCATTTAACAAGATCATTGAAGCAGTCTTCATTAAGCAGAGTGGTTGTTTTTTCCTTGATGGACCTGGAGGTACGGGAAAAACATTCTTATATAGAGCACTGCTAGCTGAAGTGCGATCAAAAGGATATACAGCATTGGCGACAGCGTCTTGTGGAGTTGCCGCTTCAATACTACCTGGAGGCAGAACAGCCCATTCGCGCTTCAAAATACCGATTGATCTAAATCCAGCTAATATGTGCAAGGTAAGTAAACAAAGCTCACTAGCTCAGCTCCTGCGTCAAGCAAAGTTGATTATCTGGGATGAAGCTCCTATGACTCATAAAATTGCAATAGAAGGGGTTGACAAACTATTGCGTGATTTGATGGACTGTGATAAATTGTTTGGCAATAAAGTTATAGTTTTTGGGGGAGATTTCAGACAAGTTCTACCCGTTGTGCACAAAGGTTCAAATGCAGATTCCTTTGAAGCAAGTTTGATAAGATCTTACATCTGGCCCAACCTTGAAAAACTTCAGCTCAAACAGAATATGCGGGCTCTCTCTGATCCTGATTTCACAGAATACCTTCTACGAATCGGCAACGGAACAGAAATGACAATAAATACTGACAATGTTCGAATTCCAGATCCATTATTGATTCATTATACCACTGAAGAAGAGTCATTAAATCGATTGATAACAACTGTGTTCCCAAATTTCAGCCAGTTTGCTGAGAAGGATGCTACTGTTATCAACAGAGCTATTTTGACAACAAAGAATGAGTTCGTGGATGAAATCAATGAAACACTGATGCAACAATTCCCTGGCAATGCATTAGAATATATTAGTAGAGATAAGTGCTTGGACTTCTCTCAGCAAGGAGCAATGGAAGATTTCATCAACAGTTTAACACCAAATGGTCTGCCTCCTCACCGTTTAGCATTGAAACCAAATTGCCCTATCATCTTGCTTAGAAACATCGACCCTCCGGAAGGTTTATGCAATGGGACTCGACTAATTTGCAAGTCTTTGTCATCCAACATAATTCATGCTGTTATAAGCTCGGGTGAACATCAAGGAAAAGAGGTGTTTCTACACAGAATATGTTTCAGAATCGAAAATGATCCCAACAGCCCTGTTTCATTTGAAAGACTACAATTTCCTATTCGGTTGTCCTTTGCTATGACTATCAACAAAGCTCAAGGACAAACGCTTGACTTTGTCGGCATTTACTTACGAGAGCCAGTCTTTTCTCATGGCCAGCTCTACGTAGCATTGTCACGAGCTAAAAGTAGCAGCTCCATCAAAATTTTGATTCGGCCCCCTCTATTTGCAACTGACTTAGACTATCTGACAGCAAATATTGTCTACTCAGAAGTCTTACATCTTGCTTACACTTAGCTGCATGCATCAGTTATATCTCATTTCTCACCTATATGTTACCTCTATTTCCTGATCAATTATTGCGTCTTATAACTCCTGCTTAATTCTGTTCACGTATGGTTTTCCCTATATTTTGCTTACCTATGGGTGGTGATTATTTGTGGAATCTAAACAGATAGACAGAAACTTACTACCTCTGAGTGACATCAAAAAGGATATGGAGGATTGGACAGCTTTGGTCCAAATTGTGGACAAACAAAAGCCCCAAACATCCAGAAATGGCCTCAAGTACCAAAAATTAGTCCTCCTTGACGACCAGGTGACACCCTCTACCTACATCTCCTAGCAATTTATTCTATCTAAAGTCAATACACTTATGCCAATCACAACTGACTGCTGCCAGGCACACAAAGTTGAAGCACTCATTTATGGCCCTGATATTGAGTTCTTCAAAAACCACTTCGCTGTGTACCAAAGATACTTCATATCAAATGCAAATGTTCAAGAGGTCCAGCAGCCATATCACTCTCAAAAGCGGCAAAACTTCTGGACAATTGCCAACTCAACTGTGGTTGAGCGACTAGAAGAGCAAGAACCACAAACCATCCCTGATATATACACCTTCGCGAACTTCACGGATATGTATCAGCATGTCGACTCCAACACTAAAATAGGTAAATTTGACTGGCCTCTCTTTTGGAAGAAGCTTTCTAAAGCTTTTCAATATTAACACACTGTCTACTAATTCCAATCCAGATTTTACTTGTATATTTACATACAACTTGCTGTTACAGTGTATTTTACTGTGCATATTTACATTTCCTATACCAGACATTATTGCAGTTGTAATACATGCTTATCCAAGAAACATCAGAGCCACAACAACCACAAGAGACATAGTTGTGATTGACCAGAGGTACGCAAACATTTATTTCCATATGCACTTGACCAATATAAAACTATACATGACATGGCTTTTAATAATTGTAGTGCCAAACCAATACTATTGACCTTATGGGGTGATCATGAAACTGAAGAAGGACAAACAATCGCAGAAATGATCCACACACAGCCAATCATAGCAGCACTTCGAGTTAAAGTTACATCTTACCGTAGTAAGAAACAAACACTATCACACTTAATATTCCATCATCCTCTTATATAACATAACAGCACTAATAATAGCGCGCACAACGTGACAGTCTTCAATCTATCAACAAAGTTCAATAGCTGCATACTTATCAACCCTCCAATACCTCAGACTGCTGAACTCAACACATGGTAAGTACCAATGCTTACTACCTATTAACTTCCTTAATTCCCTCTTTATTGCCTCTTACAATTACGAATCTCTAATCACAGGTGCCAACAGAACCAGGATGCAATTTTCCAAATGGTCCATAACAAATCATATGAGGATCGAAATAAGTTGCTCCCTCCTCCAGTTGACAACACTGTTATTACAATACAGACATTGCTGATGACAGATGAGGTAAAACGTACACTCACTTGCCTTTAAAAATTTACATTTATTTTTCATGCTTCACATATAACCCAACTGCTACACCATCATAGAAAAAAGCTTTTTGGGTGAGCGGCATTCCAAAGCTTGTTGACACAAACCAAAGACTTTGGTACACTGCCTGTCCTACATGTAACAAATATCTAAAGTCAAAGCCAAATTGGGCTATTCCGTGCACATCATGCAACAAGCGTATACATGTTGTTACAAGGTATAATACACTGCTAATGAAAATGTACTTCTTCAATCAAATCTACTGCTTTATATAATACCATTGGACAAAACGTCACAGGTGCAGAATGACAGTGGAACTTAGTGATCACACTTCAACAATAACATTGGATATCAATGGTCTGGATGGTGAACAACTATTACCCTTCAGTCTAGCAGAACTTCAACGACAGGAAGCTCAGGTACAATTCTATTACAACATAAAAAAAAGTCACGCCTCATATATTTAATAAAAATGGCATGCTTTCAGCTTTTGCTAATCTGCCCTAAACTTGTGCATAGCGCAATGTCAATCATGAGAGGATACAAGAAGCTATCCAAAACAACAGGATCATCTGCCTGGTGAAGAGGCCACATAACATCTACTACTCAACAGCTCCTGACAAATACACTGCTGTCATTGTTCACGTGAAAAACTTTACCCCAGAAGAGAAGGATGCTATCATGAAATACACCATCAATTACGCACAGACATCGGCTACATGGAAACCCAATCACTGCAACACAGCCGAAAAGGTAGAAGATGTACTCAATGACCAGCCACCGACACTTGATCTCACAATGAAAGCCAACCCTTCACAATCAGCAAATACACCACCAGAAGAAGGCATTACTGTCACTGACATTGAGGACTCCCCAGAAATTGCTAAAACAGCAGCAAAAAAGCGCCGCACCTGAAGAAGTACACATCTACAAAAAACATATAACAAGTGCTCCCTATATAAATGCTACTAGCTCCAATAAAACAGCTGCACTATTGGCTACAGCTGTAACTAAGGCCATGCTGCCTGAGCTATGACTTTCTACTTATGGTCGATTACGCTTTGCCATGCTTCCTATAAGACTATATCATCTTCACTTACAATATTTTATAAGACTATGCTCTCTTTACTTATAACTGATTATGCCTTGCTTATGCTCCTACAACTATTGATCTCCCACACAGGTTACAACTCCCGCGCTGTGCGCGGGTGCCACCCCTAGTTTTTTGTAGTACAAGCACTTAATACATCATTTTTAAGTACTTAATGGAATTACCAAACACCAGCCAAATGAGACTTTAGAAAAATTTGTCACCCAACATTCACTTTTTTGGAAAAAATTCTTTGGTAGGTAGTGAATGGATTTCTAAATTAAAATGAAAAGAAAAATCAAATTACTGATCCTTCTAGAGTCACAAATAGAACTCCCACATCTTATTCATGTTCCATTTTGCAATTGAAAGTTAATTAATCCACCTAAAACGTATGGATAATTCTAATGTTCAGCTAATCTAGAAATTTAGGCAAATTTGTTAATTTTAGGAATCTATTTTCTTATCGGAATTTGGACATAATATACATCAAATTATAGAAATAGGGAAAAGTACACAGATAGTTCTGTCCTATCCTTATAATCTTGAAATAGAAAGAGAAAATAATGGTTATACTCCAAATCATGTGACAGGATCCAAAGAAAATTATTTCGCATCTAGCTTATTCTAGGACTGTAATTTTTTTTTTTGTAAAAAAAAAAAAAACAGTATCCCAGTTCAACTATATACACCTTTATCTCAAATTGGATATGCGTACCTGTAAAGGACGTGGAACCAGAAAATCGATTACTGCTTAAGTCAAGAAACTCCAATTTTTCCAGACGCTTGAATTCTGCAGCAAGAAGATGATCCAATTAGAACTCCTAGAATGGGCAGATTGCGGTCCAACAGCTCTCATGCTAATGGATTCTACAATTTTATCTTTTCTTGTATATCTATGCTTTATAATTTTGGCATATGCAACATCTCTTACAACTACAAAAAAAAAAAACATTAACTAATTATCATCTTTCAAACAACTACTCACATGTTAGCTGACAGGCGATTTTTTTGGGCAAATTACACTTTATCCCTCTGTAGTTTAGTTTTTTTTTTTTATATATAATCCTCCTATGGTTTCAAAAGATATACATAACTCCCTAATGATTTGAATTAAAGTGTCAAAATAACAGAATTTGCAATTCATAATGGAGTCACCTGAAATGTCAAAAATACCCCTATATAAAGTTGAAAATTATTTATTAACCACAAGGGGGTTATGTGTATATTTTGAAAACCATAAAAGAGTCATATGATAAAACATTAAACCATAAGGGGGTTATATGGTAAAATATAAAATCATATGGAGTTAGTGCATTATGTAAATTATGTTTATATATTTTTATCATTTCAATCATTTTAATTTTTAAACAAGGGTAATTATGACATTTTTAAGGTTCCGTTACGAATGATCATTTCCATCACTTTGACATTTTAATTCAAATCATGAGGGGGTTATGTATTGCTTTTGAAACCATAGGGGGGTAAAATATAATTTGCCCTTTTTTTTCTTTTCTTAAGTCCATAGGCAATTATTAAATGTAAACTAACTTTGGACATGTAAATTAAGTTACCCTCCCATCCCATACTTGTGAAGGTAAAAGGAAAACAAATAAGATGCTTTGCAATTTGCTCCACATCAATAAAGTTCACATTTAGGAGCTATTAATTGAAATAGATTACAAATAAATAATGCTGAATCATTCCAAGTTTAGATATTCATTAATTTTTATGTGCTGAACAGGACCCAAAACAAATGAAGTAGAAAAGCAAAAATAGAACAGACGCAAAGTCAAAGAAAATTGTGTAAAAAGGTTAAAGAAAGTCTCATATAAGAATTATAGATAGTAATTGAATATACCTTCTATGGGAAACGATCCCTCTAAACCCAAATCACTGAGAGACAGCCTTTTAAGTTCAGTAATTGCAGTTATACATGGAATTATACTGTTGTTGAAGTTGTTATCATCGAGGTACAAAGATTCGAGATTTTGCAACTTAGCCCAATTCCTGCAGCCTGCAAAAGCACGAGTCAGATTCTAATAAACGGACTAAATACCAAAGAAAAAATGTGCAAAACCATGACGGCTTCTTTCGGTCCCGATTAGAGACTGTGAAAACGACTATCACCGAAAACCAGTTGTGGTTTAACTTTGAAAACAAAAACGAAATTGAAAACAAATTTGTAACCGGTCACCCATTGAATAGAAAACTATTTGATAAATAAATAAGACACACTATCAAAAAACGTGGAAGTAAAACTTGGTTGCTAATTGACTAAAAGAAAATGATGGTAAGAAGCATCATTGTAATGCAATATCTTAGTCTCTTCTCTTGATCCATTCACTTTTTTCCACATAAATTGCCTGTTTTTTTCTTAGAGACATCAATTTACTCGTGTATACATTCCTTAAGTATTTCTTGACTTCTTTCAATTTATGATATATTAATTCTTGTTGTTTTGAAGGGGCGCAAATGACTAACTCAGCTAAAATTTAATACAAAATAGTTTCCTGCTTTATTAAACTATCGTCAGTTTTTACGGGATTTTGAGTCTTCTACAATTATAATACATGAGAAATTAAAAGAAATAAGGCTGAGAAAAAAAGATGAAGAAATATGAAAAACTTGCCTCAAGCTGCGGACAAGAATACCAAAAGTAAGGCTTGAACGAAAAAAGAAAAGATGAATTACTGGCCAATCTTTCGATATAAGATTAAATTTTATATTTTAGCAAAATCAAAACATATACAAGATTAAATTTTATATTTTACTCTGGAAAATTAGTAAATTACAAAGTACAAAGAAGGAAAAGATTCAACATGGTGTATGTGGTTTAGGCCAAGATTCAATTATTGTTGGGGAAAACCAACGATTTGAGAAAAAGATGGAAGGATAGTTACCTGTCACTTCACTATTGAAGTAATTACCACTCAGGTCTAGAGCTCGCAGGTCCTTCAGAGGTATGAAAGTGCTAATATTTGCATGCCAATTCTCAGACATATTCTTTCGCAAATCACTAAGGTGGAGTTCAACAATTCTCCCAGTAATATTGCTGCACTTGACCCGTTCCCAGGTGCAGCAATCATCATTTGCTCCATCACCTTCTTTTCCAGTCCACGAAGAAAGGATAAGATGAGCATTTGTAGTCACATTTAAGGAAGCTTTGAAGTCCAAGAGAGCATGTTTTTCTTCTAAAAAGCAACCTGAGCAAAGTTGTCTTCCGTTGAGTATTATTGATACAGCAAGAGCCCATGAGGCAATCAGAATGGAATGACCGCGCATGATTTCAATATGGAGAATTAGTGAAGGAAAGTGTTGTAATGAAAATGGAAGGCAGGATAATTTATAATCGCTTATCAATGTACTGGAACGCAGGTCCGGAGACCGGAGACAAGTCAACTCAGGTGTAAAACAGTGGCGGATTCACACTGGGACACTGGGGGTACGAGCCCCACTCGCCCCTTAAATATCTATGATACTTATAATAATTTGGTGTAATTTCAACTGTGTCTCTTAGAGTTTTGTGTATCTATTGGTTTATAGGCTTCCACTGCCCCCTTAAATTTCTATAATACCTATAAAAATTTGGTGTAATTTCAAGTGTGCCCCCTGGAATTTTGTGTATCTATTAGTTACTTATATTGAGAAAAATATACTTCGTGAAGTTCAAAATAAAAAGGTTGTAAACCGTTATTAAAATATGAAAACTCGCTATGAGCAATTATAAATGGTTTAGTTTGCTTTTGAAATAAAATTATTATTACATTAATAATTTTGAGTTTGTCTTTTGATTTTTTCATGAAATATATGCATCATTTGTACTTGTTGACGAATATTTTTTTCCTTAAAAAACTAAAAAAAGTATTTAACCATTTATATTAAGTTTTTCAAGAATATAACAATGTAATGTTATTATATATCAAATAATGTAACAAGAACAATAACCATACCCAACATATAAGATTACAACCACACAGCCCGTGTCACATATTCAGATGTCCACTAATAGAGCACTCAGATGTTCATAACCTGTTGAAGTTAAGGGATGGCAGCAAAAATTCGACAGGTAAGAGAAACCTATGCCTGTAATCGATATGGGCACTGCCACACATCCTCTTGTGGAGCTGGAAGCTGCAAAATCAGCCACTAAATTATTGTACACCTTTGCTGATCACGACCAAGTTTTTCCAACCTGAAAATTCACCCTCCAGTAAGCAATAATATATTAAGTTCAATAACTAACTCAAAAATTAAGTTCAACAACTTTGTATATTAAACTTTCACCACTCTATTCAAGTGATAAATACCTTATCAGATCAAGGTAAGTGACCATATTAAGTCCTGCCCCTCTCCTGCTTGAAAAAACAAAGCACAAAGTGAACAATAATTAAATACAACAAATAGAAGAACACAAATAATATCCAAAAGTTAGAGAGGTAAGAACACATAACACGAAAATTTCTAAACAACTATAATTTCTGACACAAATGTAAATTAATTTACGTTTTTATATAACCAAAAGTTCTATTGTTGAAAGCGTTCCTAATATTTTGAGAATTGATCATTAGGGGAAAACAAACAAACATGGAATCGAACGTCCTAATTAAGAAGCTACAAACACCCCAATAGATTAAGTGAAAGTTTGCCACCGATTTAGGGCTTTCGACTTTAGTTTTAGGAATATGCACAAGCAAAAAAAAATAGAATGATTGATTTGTCTAATCCCAAATACGAAATACTCAAAATCAATTCATAATGGTATAGAATCAAGATTCATTAGGCATTGTTAACAAAGCATTATTTATTTAGTTTTCCAAGAAAATTACCTTTCACCCTTGAATTGAGAATTTCATTTCCAAATCTTTAATTTTTCTTTTGGAAGTGCAAAAGTTTGAATTCAGAACCTCCTAATTACAGTCCATTTGTCTTACCAGCCAACCCTCCCCCTTATTTCCTAATCTTGTTTAATTATTTTCTAAAAATGAAGCAAAAAATTTCTTTTTGCTTATTACTAAAAACACTCCTTTTAGTTCTTCTTAAGTTCTTAAATTATTTCTATAAATTTCCTTGTCCCCTCCCCGCTTCTTAAACCCCACCATTTTCCTATATATATATATATATATATATATATATATATATATATATATATATATATATATATATATATATGGTTATGTTAGTTTACTCAAACTCGACCAAATATAGTTAGTTGAGCTCAAATCAAACGAACTCATCGAACGTTATAAACTGTAGAGTAAAAAGTAGGGATACTAATTATCTTTTTTTGTTTCTTATCTAATTTAAGTTTACTGCTTTTTTTTTTTTTTGCAATCTCCTGAGACATGTGAAGTAGGCTTTATGTTTTGAGAAATAAATTTATACTTTCTGTTGAGATTATTTGTGCATTACATGAATTAAATTCCGATAATCATGAAAATGAAATTTCTCTTATATCTTTTTTCTGGGTAAAATACCCAAAAACTCTCTATGATTTGATAAATATTCAATTTAACTCCCTCTGATTTGGAAACCTACACTATAGCTCCCTATAGTTTTGACTAAATTGAAAATTGGACAGAAAGTATCAAATTTAATGGTTGTGTATGAAATGTCACTATTGCCCCTACTATACGTGAGATGCTTTCCATTTAATTTTCAATTTAGTCGAAACCGTAGGGAGTCATAGTGTAATTTTTTAAATCAGAGAGAGTTAAATTGAACGTTCAATAAACCATGGGGAGTTCATTTATATAGAGACAATATTGACATTTCACGTATAACCATTAGATTGGATGCTTTCCGTCCAATTTTCAATTTAGTTGAAACTACAGGGACTTATAATATAGATTTTAAATAAGAAGAAGTTAAATTGAACATTTAACAAACTATATTGAGTTTTTTGATATTTTATCCTTTTTTTTGGTCAATCGACAACATCTATATTTACTTTACTCCGACTTCTACTCCAATCAATTTTAAGGGAGATAGCCCAATTAGACTATGGGAATCAATCGAAATTGAATCATCATTGGATCAAATGAAAACACTGTACACTTATATAGATTTGGAGAAGCATAAGGGAAAATGAAATTTCCCTTATGACAGAAAAAGGAAAAAAAGAAGGCAGACCATGAGTTTCGTTCAATAACTGCGTTCAAATAACGGTTTTATTCGATTAGATGGCCGCGGTTTTTTTCGAGAAGGACGTTACCTTTTCAGGGGGTAGTCGGTTGGCGGCATTTGCTGGTAGCAACTTTGCCTGGGCCCCACTTTCCCAACCGCCTTGACTCTTGACTCTTGAAGCCTATCAACCAGGCGTGTATTGCATTTCTAGGGACCCCACAACACAAGACACTTTTGCTTTCCGCAAGTTGGCACAATTTCCATCGCTTCTTTTGCTTTTCAGTGTATGGGAATTTGGCTTTTTACTTTAGTGGCGTACACATTGATTTAAAACATCAAATTTTGTAAACCACACTACCAAGGACTCGTTTCCATCGCTTCTTTTGCTTTTCACTGCATGGGAATTGTCCGTGCAGTTTCCATCATATAGGCTTTTTACTTTAGTGGCGTACACATTGATTTAAAACTTTGCTTTCAAACATGGAAATTTTTTAAGAGTAATCTTTTATATATTGACAGTGTATATACTATCATCGTTTGATTCATAACATGTATGTAGAATTTAAATTTTAAATTCAAATTTTGCATAGTTGTCATTTATCTAATACTGATAGTATATACACTGTCGGTGTAGGAAAGATTAATCCATTTTTTAAACCACACTACCAAGGACTTTCAATTTTGATAGAGTGAGAGATAAAGAATTCAAATCTTATTTTTTATTAAGTTGTCATTATATGTGGTTTAATATTTTGAGTGGCCTCCTTCATTTTTTTTACTGACAAAAAAAATCAAAATTTGTAATTATAATGAGTAAAATTAGAAGGTTCTATTTTTGAATTGGAGACGCTCATTTTCTTTTGGGATATTTTGTGCGTTGAATGAATTACGGGTGCAGTTTCAGTACAATTGAAGAAAATGTGGTCAAGCAGCAGTAGAAAAATGTGGAGTGTAGAGCTTGGGCAGATGTTTTGGCTAGTGAAATTGGTGCGGAACGAGCTGATTATTTCCTAACTGCACTTGTATTTGATTCATTATTTTCATCTATCAAGCTAGTGTGTCTGATTTTGCTTTATTAAAGTTTTTCTATTAGGGATTCTTATATTATATTTTATTGACTAGAATTTTATTATTGAGATGTGATGCCTTTTTTATCCCTTGAATTTTTCATCGCAGGCGCATGATGGGAAAAAGTGATGCGAGATAGATTTTGGGATAAAAGAAAGTTTATTTTGAAGTAAGAGACTAAATTGTATCGTCGTGAAAAATTATCTGCACAAATTTTTTTTTCAATTGAAAAATTAACATTAGCCAAATGACTGAGAATAATAAATGACTTTCTGGTGGACTAAGCTTAGAAGAGATATTGGAGACAGAGTATTCAGTTACTAGTTTGGGTGCATACATTATTGTTGTCCTATTTTTCGTTTTTCTAATAAGAAATTGCTAATTTCTGTCAATCATTATTGCCGACAGAAATTCAATGAAGTAAAAAGTCGTCAAAATTGGAGGACAGCTTATGTCCAGAGCTTGCAGCAGGCCCCCTTCAGAGTCAAGAACTCGCAAACATTGAAATGGTTGATCAATGATTGACATGAATACCGCTTTTATCCATCAAGACAGGAATCGTCGAATTCTTTCCATCTCTACTTTGGAAAGGATGGGTTGACTGATTATGATGAAGTTAAGCATGAAGCTTTGCATTTTTTCTAGATGCTATTTTATCATTTTATGCCCAGTTTCTGCAAAGGACATTTGAGGAAATGTGTGCTTATTTAATAGTATGAAATTTGGAACTACTCCTGGCCCGAATTTCTCTACTAACTTCTTTGTCAGAAATTGGGATTTTGTTAGCCTGGAGGTTTTGTAGGCTATGCACTTCATGTTTTGAGTATAAATATGATGTACCATTTTAACTTCAATTAATAAGGTCTTAAATCTTGTAACTATGATGGATATTTTAGACCTATTACTCGTAGCAATATGGTACTTTTCTTTTTTATTTGTTCCAAAATTAATATCACTTACTAAAAGAGGCGATAAAACTTTCGCCCATTTTCATTAATGCCCTTAGATCTAACAACCAGATTCTTATCTTTTACTGGCTCAAAAGTTGACCTATGAAATTCAGAAGTTCCATTTGATGGAATATGCGTCCCACGTTAGAAGTTGCAGGATTCATGCATTACACTTTCTTCGGATCCCTTTAT